ACATCCGTAGTTTTTTTCTATTGTATACACTTTTCACAATTCTCTCCTTTCTGTCATTCAGAGCACTGATGATACCATGCTTTACTTTATTAGAGAGACATTAAAATTTAGCTCTACTAATTGAACATAAATATTAGGCACTAATAACTAGAACTTAGGGTATGGCAGTCCCAGAGTCAGTTGGCAAGGTTCTTAGAAGTGTGGCATAGTAGAGAAAAGAATGGCAGAAGTCAGAAGACCTGTATCCACGGCCTGATCATGCCCAAAAATTAAAATTAAAAAGTAGATCTTTGTTAAGCACTTAAACACTCGGGGTCTAGGAAATATTCTATTTCTTAAAAGATGTTTCACTTTTGCACCCAGATTTTAATCTAGATACTTTATTGATTTTCTCAAAGAATAATATCAATAGAACATTTCTTTTAATACGATATTCATAGTCTTTCCCGGGTGTTCCTTTTATGGACTCATAGACGAAATGTTGAAGAATTGTATTGAATAGCAAGATTCACAAACCTCATAAAAGATTAGAAGAATGTTAGAGATGTCATGAGTCATAAATGGACTAGTTCACAAGTGCTTAGAGTTAAGAGTTTGTATGGCAAGAAAGGCATGACATTAGAGGGGGATGTCACAAGCTTATATCTTAAACCACAAGCATATGTAGGAGAGAGCACACTGCGCATGCCCTAAGGCTTTGGAACTCTCAGAGCCTGCCCCCAATGATGTACTTCTTCCAGCAATGACACACCTCCAAACCTCCCCAAATAGCACTGCCAGCTAGGGAATAGATGTTTAGGTGAGCTTATGGTGGGTATGTCTCATTCATACCACCACAAAGGGACGTCGTAATAATACTTCCTAAGCTTGATATAACAATGAATTAAAGTGTCTACAACACTTAGAAAAGAGTCTGCAATAAGGTAAGCACTATGTGTGTGTGTTCTCTTATTGTTCCTAAGTTTATTGTTATAGCCTCAAAACCTATACTATAATTTAGTGCATGGTTGATACTTAATAATAGTTTTAATAATAATAATTTCGTCTTGTAATAATTTAAGAACTCCTATCTCAAATCATGTGTAAAATTTATTTGAGGGGCTAGAAAGGTGGCTCAACAGTTGAGAGCATTGGCTGCTTATTCAGAGGATCCATCTTTGATTCTCAGCATCCACATGATGGCTCATAACTCCATTTTCAGAAGCTCTGATGTCCTCTTCTGGTCTCTATAGGCACCAGGCATGCAGTGGTGCAAAGGACTGTGCAGACAAAACATTCATACACATATAGAATAAAATAAAATTGCAGCCGGGCGGTGGTGGCACACGCCTTTAATCCCAGCACTTGGGAGGCAGAGGCAGGCGGATCTCTGGGAGTTCGAGACCAGCCTGGTCTACAAGAGCTAGTTCCAGGACAGGCTCCAAAACCACAGAGAAACCCTGTCTCGAAAGACCAAAAAAAAAAAAAAAAAGAATAAAATAAAATTAAAAATCAGTTGAAAGGTATCAAAGATCTAAATATAAAATCTAAAAGTCTACAGTAAGAAATTAATTATATACAGTCCTGAATAAACAGAAATTTATCACTACTAAATATCAAAAAAAATAAACAACCAAAAAAGAAATAAAATTCAGTTCAGTACCAGAGAGCTTGTCTTATGTGCAAGGTACACCTACAATCCCCAGCAGCAAAAGATAAGTAAAAAGCCAGGGTAATGTCTATCATTCCAGCTCTCGGTTAGGTTGAAGTAGAGTAGAGAGATCAAGGCCATCCTAGGAAGCCACAAGATTAGGAAGAAAGGAAAGAAGGGGGGAGGAAATGAAGGGAGGGAGGGAGAGAGAGAGGAAGGAAGGGAGCTGGGAAGGTGGAAAGAACATGATACATGTGTTCAAAGGAAGTCATGCAATGCCCAAACCCAATACATAGTATAAGGCTGAACATCATTGTCATCTATGAAATACAATTCAAACTCAAGCTATATTGAATACCGTTTTATTCATACTAGTACAGCTTTTTTAAAAAAGGAAAATAAGTGTTATTGAGAAAAATGGAATTCTTGTAGATTATTATTGATCATATGATAAATTGTATGGTTACTTTAGTAAACATTCTACTTTTTCTTCAAATAGGTAATTGTTAGGGTTATTCTATGACTAGTAATTCAGATACAAAAAAAAAAATCTTGTAAACCAGTGAATTTATATCCTCTGTAGTAAAATGGGTACGATCAGCCATTTCATTAGCCTCCAGAGACAGAAGCAGTGCAGAGCCAGAGCCACAGCCACAGCACCTTTTGGAAGTTAATGCAGCTCCACAAAACCTGAGCCAGAGTCAAAACTCCAGTCACCACGGTGTCTGTAGTAGCTCATGGTGTTAAGGGTCTTGTGTGACAAAGTGTGAGTGTCACCACCTGCCCATGAACTCATATCTCTTAAATGGGCATGGCAAGAAAATATGCTGTCATTTACCTCATTTCATGTCTTCAGCTGCATTAGAAATAGTATCAGCTTCTGGCTTCGGTTTAGGACATCTGTCCAGATTCCAGTGAAATGAGTTGTGTTTGTTTTGACTCTGATTATATTTTCCCAGGGTGCATATGGTGTAAGAGTCTATCCAGTTCTGTAGCCAGGCATCATATCATTGTTATTCAAAACAGTGAATGCATTATTTATTGATTTAAGTCAATGTTATGTGAAACTGTACCTGATTTCTTAAGACCAAAAATGTTTGCCACAATTGTTTCAAATACCCAAGTATATCACCTTTCAATTTAAAAAATAATAAAATTCTTTTGAATATTCATAGTAATATAACATTCAAAGGTAGAAAAGATCCAATGAATGGGTAAACAAAATTCAGTAATTGCATACAATGTAATATTTACTGATGAAAAGAAATGAAGTCCTGATGTATGTTACAACATAGATAAGCATGTTAAGTGAAAGAAACCAGATGTAAAATTTTGTATCACTCTATATAAAATGTCCAGAAGAGCCCAATTCATAGAAACAGAAACATTGGTAGTTGACACTGGCTCTCGAATATGCATTGGATACAGAATGGTGAAGATATTCTGAAGTTGGATAGTGGCTGTGATATTTAATCTCTATTGTTAACTTGGTTGCAGTGAGATACCTGGGAGATTTGTATAGCACAGCACTCACTAGGCGTGGCAGTAAGGTCATTTCCAGAGATGATTAGATCATGAAGGCTGTGACATAATCAATGGGTTAATCCATTATAAGATTCAGACTTTGATAGGCTATTGAGAAATGGTGGAATTGTGAAACGTGAGACTAATTAGAGGAGCTTGTTCTTTGGGGTCTGGCCTTTGACAGGAATACCACGGCTTTGTATCCTTCTTTTTATACTTGTCTGTATCTGCATCCTGTTATCCTGAGATGGGAAGTTCTCCTCTTCCACACTCTTCCACATTTTTTTGTCTAGCAATGGGCCTGGAAACAATGCAGTGAGATGACTATGGACTTTGTCTCTGTATAAACCAAAATAAATCCTTCCACATTTTATCTTGTTTCGTCCAGGTGTTTGTCACAGCAACAGAAAGCTTATACAGTGGTGAGAACTGCACAACTTTGATTAAAAACCAATGGATTATAGACTTTAAAGTATTGATTTTAGCTCATTTTAAATCATATAAGCTGAGCCTTGTGGTATATGTCTGTAGTCCCATCAGTCTTGAGGTAGAGAAGCAAGGATCGTAAGCTTGAGGCCAGCCTGAGCTATGGAGTGCATAATGTGACCCTGTCCTTCCTAGTCTCAGAGGAAAGGAAGCATTTTTGACCTTGAAAGTAAAAATTGCAATTTAGATAAGCTTTAAATATAATTATATTTACTAAGGTAAATTCTTATCATTTGTGATTCTGGTTAATAAAAAATAAAAACAAAATCATGACATACTTTTGTCCCTTACAAAATATTGTTTTTAATTATAACACATAATAAATAATTTTAAAGTTTCTTTTATAGCTACTCAGTAAGTCACCTTACAAAATAATAAATTGGGATTCAGTGTCTCTATATTTTTATAGCTTTCTTTTTTGGTTTAGTCATTTTTTAAAAATTTTATTTAAATAATATATTTTTATTCCTTTTACATACCAACTAATTTCCCCTCCCTCCTCTCCTCTAGGCTCCTCCCCTTTTCCATTTACTCCCTTCCCCATCCGCTCCTCCTTCATCTCTATTAAGAAGGGGGCGGACCTCTATATTTAATACAAGATTTTAAATTCTATTTTCATTGTTTAAAAAGCAAAAGCCAGCAATTTGATATTGGGAAAATATGTCTTTAGTCTCCACTGTTACTTCATCCATTATTTCAGTGAATAAGATTTTTGAATTCTTGAATTAAAAAACCAGTAAACAGATTGTACAATGATGTATTTTATCTCATGGTGAACACAACAATAATATACGTAATTACCAATTTCATACTTTGCTTAACTGTATAATTTTCTAGTATATACTTCCTTAGTATATGCTTCTTGCTAAAATAGCAATTGATTTTTGTTAATATAGAAATTCAAGTGTTTTTTAATAATACTTCACTAAAGAATGTTAAACTTCATTCTGACATTTCCCTTTTCTGCTTTATAATTGTCTACATTAAGGCCAAGAGATAGAGCTCAGTTGGTAAGAATGCTTTCCAGCATGCACAGATCCCTGAGTTCAATCCTCCGCCCCACATAAACTGGACATGATTGTGAGCTCTAGTCATCCTAGCACTTGTGAGATTAAAGTGGGGGAGAGCGGTTCCTAGTCATTCTTGACTACATAGCAAGTTCAAGTGTGCCCTTAACTACACAGGACACTTGTCAGAAATGAAGAAAGAGGAAACCTCTATCACTCTGTTTATGCTTAAACCAATTGCATGACACCCATGTTTGTTTAATGCATGGATAATTCTAGTATTACTGTCATTATGGATCAAGAAATTACCATATTTAACGTTGATGTCATAATGTGTCGTTCTGTTTTCTTAGGAACTCCCTGCACCACTACTTGATGATAATGGTAAAAAAGAGATTGAAGATATACATAATCCTAAAACACCGGAAGCAGATGTTAGCATGAAAATAGCCTGGAGATACCAGTTCCTGCCCAAGATGCAGGCAAGTCGGCATGTAAACTACCTCTAGAGTTTGTAATGTTCTTCTTTTCACTTTGTAGAACCTCTCTCGTTTGCCCTCCTGTTTTAGGTCTTGTGGCTTTGGTCCACTTTTTCATTTTGAAAGGGGAATATTATTTTATGCCATTGTATTTTAGAAGTATACAAGATAGAATTTGTTTTCTTTCGTGTGTGTCTGTTCATATAGGCCAGTGTTACATGTCTTCCACCTCCCTCCTCCTTACTTTCTGAGATAGTATTTTTCACTAAATCTGAGGCTTACTGATTCAGCAAGCACAAACAGAATAATTTAGACAGTCTTTTCCTTTCTTTCTCTCCTTCTCTCCTTTCTCGCCTTTCTCATCCTTCTTTCTCTCCTTTCTCATCTTTCTTTTTCACCTTTCTTTCTCTCCTTCATTCCTTCTTCCTTCTCCTTCCTTCCCTTTTTTTTTTCTGACAAGTGTCCTGTGTAGTTCAGGGTCTACTTGGACTTGCTGTTTAGCCAAGGATAACTGTGTAGCAAGCCCCTGGGATATTCCTAAAGAGATTGTCTAGAATTTTAGAAGGACTTTTGGACTTTGGGTTTCTGAGTAATATTTAGAACTTTGTTATTTTGGAACTCTTACAGATGTATTTTGCAATAAACATGAGACTTGAGTCAGAAGTAAAACATTATAGTTTTTTTAAGATTTATTTATTTACCATATATACAGTATTCTGCCTGCATGTATGCCTGCAGGCCAGAAGAGGGTATCAGATCTCATAACAGATGGTTGTGAGCCACCATGTGGTTACTGGGAATTGAACTCAGAACCTCTGGAAGTCTGGAAGGGCAATCATTGCTCTTAACCTCCGAGCCATCTCTCCAGCCTAGAACATTATAGTTTTAAATGATGTGTTTGGCTGTGAAGTTGTTAAGAGATGGTGTCTTAGGGTTACTATTGTGATGAGACACCATGACCAAAGCAACTTGAGGAGGAAAGGGTTTATTTTACTCACAGTTCTATATAACAGTTTATTATCAAAAGCAGTGAGGACAGGTACCTGGTGGTAGGAACTGATGAGGAGGCCATGGAGGAGTACTGCTTACTGCCTTGCTCAGCCTACCGTCTTATAGAACCCAGGACCACCAGTCCAGGGATGGTATCACCCACAATGGGCTGGGCCCTCCCCCATTGATCAGTAATTAAGAAAATGCCTTACAGCTGGGTTTTATGGAGCTCTTTCCTCAGTTGAAACTTCCTCCTCTGATAACTCTAGTTGGTATCAAGTTAGCATAAACCTATCCAGTACAATTGGATTTATAGTGATTAACTTTCAATGTTAACTTGAACTGAATTTAGAATCACCCAGGAGACACAGTAACGGGAGACTGCTCATTTGTTTACTGTCCTCCCAGACCCAAATAATCACACAGAAACTATATTAATTACATCACTGTTTGGCCAATGACTCAACTGTATTTCTAGCTAGCACTTACATCTTGAATTAACCCATTTCTATTAATCTGTGTATCACCACAAGGCTATGGCCTACTGGTAAGGTTCCAGTGTCTGTCTCCTTCGGTAGCTATATGGCATCTCCTTGACTCTGCCTACTCTCTATATATATCTTTGTTTGGTTTTCTCACCTAGTTCTATTCTGCCCTTCCATAGGCTGAAGCAGCTTCTTTATTAACCAATGGTAATAAAACATATTCACATCATACAGAGGGGAACCCCACATCAAGACACATTTGTGCTTCCAAAGAGATTTAGATGAGCAGAGGAGACCCACCTGAATATGACTGTATCATTCCATAGGCTGAGGTCCTGGACTTAAAAAAGAAAAAGCACATATAACGTGGGCCTTCTTCTATCAGCTTTATGACTATGGAAACAATGTGGCTATCTTCATAGTCTCCTGCTGCGATATTTTATCTACCATGTCAGATTGTTTGAGGGAACTCTGAGCTATAACAAACTCAATTCTCATCAGATAGCTGATCATAGCAATGAGAAAAATATCTCATATTTCCTAGGTCATAGTATTTCTAATTAATTGTTTGTATGCCTTCATCACAGATGAGACTTCTTTGTGAAGATAGTTTATTTCATTTTCTTCTGTATGTCCACCATATATTAATGCCTATATAGTGAATAATAATAAATATATGTATTAATGGTTAATACATACAGCCAATATCAAGTAGTCACCCGTCAGTTGTGTACCAAATCAAGCATATTAAGTAATAGCAAGCTGTCCTTTTACACATATAATTTATTTGAATAACATGTTAAAACTTTGATTTAGACAACTATGAACAAACTACAGATCTTCTTATTAACTCTTATAACTTATATTAGCCCATAATACTCTGTGTCAACCACGTGGCTTGGTACCTTTTTCGGCGAGGCAGTCACATCTTGCTTGCTCTGTGTCTGGCTTCCTCTCTGTCTGGGTTATGACTACAGACTGCGTCTTTCTCTTCCCTGAATTCTCCTGTTCTCATTATCCCATCTCTACTTCCTGCCTGGCTACTGGCCAATCAGTGTTTATTTAAAATACAAGTGACTGGGTACAGACTATTGTCCCACAGCAAGAGAGTATCTGTATTCATATATAAAATAATAACTAATTTTCCTTGCATATGTTGATCCTGTAAAATGGACAAGGACAACTCAATTTTTAGCAAGTCAGCAAAAATGTGAAGTGAAAATTTTTGTGACCCTCAAACTTATAAAAGAGATGTCTGGTTGCAGTTAGAATACGAGAAATGTAGTTTAAAACTGTAATCGTGCCCTCTCACTGCTCAGTAATCGATTTCCCCATATTCTAAAGTGTTTGTCAAAAGACTTTATTAGCAATAAAGGGAAAGTCATACTCTCATTCTTACTAATAAAAGTACAAGTGGTAGAAGAGAGGCAGGATGACTCAGCAGGGAAAAGCACTTCCTGTGCCAGCCTGACAACCCTGTGGTTGCTTCCCTTCTTTGGAGCTTACATGGTACATTCTGGTTTCATAAAACTTAGTTCTCAGATAGGAGGCTTTCCAGTCAGATCCAGCATTGATCTTCTGGGACCTGTGTTCTAAAGTACATGTTGTCTTCAGCAACAGGGAGTCATCTTCAACCTCAGGGAAGCAGCCAAAGGCTATAACAATAGCTTCTAATGTTTTGGGAGTCTTTTAGTCTCCCCTGACCAACAATTCAAAAAGGTGCTTCTTATTCCTGATATTGGGGTTTTTGTTAGATAATCTGTCTATGGCTCTTGGGAAGTCCAGTGTCAACCAGGTAGGATAATCTTATTTAAACTATATATGTACATGTGTACACATAAAGTTATATGTATTATATGTAATTTTAGATAAATAGATAGGATTTCTTATGACTTTTTCATACATCCTTACTGATATTTTATCTTCCTCCAGCCCCTTCTTCTGTGTTGAACACACTCTCCCTTTTCTAATTAGAGTGGTTGTGTGTCGTCCCCCCGCCCCGCCCTCTGCAGTTTTTCACCCTTTCAAATCGCTTGTATCCTGCTATTCTTTTTTTCCATTGTCTCCCACTCCATGGTCCCCTTTTACTTTCCCAGTTTTTGTGGTTGCAGCAGATGAGAGAGAATACAAGACATTTGTCTTTCTGGGTCTGAGTTACCCCACTCAATGCAGCTTCTCAAGTTCTGGATATTTACCTGAAAATTTTACTATTTCACTTCTCTTTATAGCTTAATGGTATTCTGTAGTGTATATAAACAACATTTCACTAACTCTTCATCAGTTAATGGACATTTTAGTTGTTTCCATTTCCTACCTGTTGTGTATAGAATAGAAGTGAGCAAGGCTGAACAAGTGTCTGGAATAGGATGTTAAGTCCTGTGGGTATATGCTGAAGAATGGTATAGCAAGGTCATGTGGTAGGTTTATTTTTAATTTTTTGAGGGTTCTCCATGAAGCACAGAGTGGCTGTACCAGTTGTAATCCCACTAACAGTGAATGAGGACTCCCCTTCCCCCACATTCTCTTCAGCATTTGTTTTTAGTTGTTTTGTTGATCTTAACTCTTCTGACTGGGTTGAGATGAAACATCAAAGTTTTAATGAATTTTTTCAAGGTATTTCTTAGCTAGTCTTATTTCTTTTTTTTTTTTTTTTTTTTTTTTTTTTGGTTTTGAGACAGGGTTTCTCTGTGGCTTTGGAGCCTGTCCTGGAACTAGCTCTGTAGACCAGGCTGGTCTCGAACTCACAGAGATCCGCCTGCCTCTGCCTCCCGAGTGCTGGGATTAAAGGCGTGCGCCACCATCGCCCGGCTAGCTAGTCTTATTTCATCTTTCGAGAACTCTCTCTCTGTTCAGGTCCGAGGCCCACTTTGCAATGTGTCTTTTGTATTGTTTTGTTCTTTTTACTCTGGGGTTGTTGTTGTTGTTGTTGTTTCTATATTCTATAGAATATAGATATTAATCCTCTGTCAGAAATATTGTGACAAAGATTCTGTCCAATTCTTTTGTTTTCCTCTTCACTTGATTGATTGTTTCTATTTCTGTGCAGAAAGTTTCAGCTTTCTGAGGTCTCACTTGTTAATCATAGTTCTTGGGCATATGGAGTCCTCCTATTCAGCATGCCCTTTCCTGTCCCTGTATCGTGCAGAGCGCCACCTAGGTTGTCTTGTAGCAGTTTCGTGTTTCAGGTTTAGGTCTTTAATCTATTTCATTAGTTTTTTGTACAAAGGTGATAGATTCCAGTATAATTTTATTTTTTCATGTACAGACATCCAGTTTTCTCACCGATATTTGTTGAAGACCAATATATCTTTGTGGCCTATTTGTAAAAAAAAGAAGTAGGTGACTGTAGTAGCACATACTTATGTTTGGGTCTGTTTTGTTCCATTGATTTTCATGCCTGTTTTTGTGCTAGTTCCATTTTGATGTTACTACTATTGCTCAGTAATATGATCCTGCTGGGGACCATTCTCATTCAAACCACTACACCTGGGATGAAACATGCTTATGTTGTGTGATTTTGAAACTAAT